GTAAAAATGTTGAACCAACAGGGCTACATTTCTATAGTGTTAATAGTTATTAGTTATTCCTGAACCAGGAGGCCCTGCTCTTAGTCACTCATGCCTTAGTCACCTCCTGCTTAGATTACTGCCACACACTCTACATAGCTGCCCTTGAAGAGTATTTGGAAACGTCAACTGGTGCAAAATGCAGTGGCGCAGGCAGTTATGTTACTATAGCCAAAAGTAGTTTTAGCCTTCCTGTATAGTTGATTTCCTGGTTTGGTCTACCTAGTGGGGCTGACATCAATCTTTCAAGTCTGATTGTGCTGTACCTCCTCCTTCTTGTGTATTTACATCAAGGTCATCCTTTTTACTCTTTACAAAGAGAGACTTAATGGAGTGTGCAAACAATCACACAATATAATGGATTTCATTTGCTAGGGAAATAACGTAGATTAGAGCCCTACATGGAAAGGGATATGCCACAGGTTTAACCTGATTTTAGAAAAAGCCAAGGAACAAGAGAAATGATAGCTAATGCATGCTGGATAATTAAGAAACCCAAGGAATATCAACAAAAGTCAAAATGTCCTTTATTGACTATAGAAAGCAATGTCTTTAATTATTATAGAAAGCTATATTGATCATGTCAAGCTGTAGAATATTCTTGATAAAATGGTAATCCCAGAGCATCTCATTGACTTCATGCAAAAACTACAGAGGACAGGAAACCACAGTCCAGATGGAATATGGCAAAACAGACTGGCTCCAGGTCAGCAAAGGAGAGAGATAAGGCTGTATACAGGTAGTCCTTGCTTAATGACCATTCATTTAACAAGAGTTTGAAGTTACAACAGCCTCAGAAAAAGTGCTTTACGACCATCGTAAAAATAGTTTTAAAATTGGATCCAGTCTCGTGGTGACTCGCTTAATGACCACCCCACTTAACCACCAATTTTCCAGTCCCTATTGTGGTTATTGAGGACTACCTATACTCTCTCCCTCTATTCAACCCATATGCTGAACATATATTGAGGGAAACTGGATTGGAGCGAAGTCTTCATTTAGTTTCGTAAGCAAAGATCTGGCCTTTACTCCTCCACCTCCAGAAACGAACAAAAAAATCTGCTGCAATTGCATTTGAGTTGGGTGGGGATTAGGGCAGCTTATCTCATAATTCTGAGTAAAGTACCAGAACTGGACCGCAAAACTGTGGATTGCCAAAAAAAAAAAAATGGTAAAGGAGAGTGCCATCTAATGGTCATCCTCATTTGCAGTCCAGTTTGTAGCAATATTGTCAACATGATGGGTACAGCTATGGTCTCATATCAGTTGCCAGTTCGGCCTTGTGAAATGTTTGGATGAGGTCTGAAATTATCCTGTGGCATTTGGTATGATATGGGTAGGGAGAGCAACTAGTAAAGCTAGTAAATGATTACTCAGCAACCAAAAAACAAAAAAGGTTTGCCCATACTTGTGAAGATGCCTATATTGGCTAGTGAGTAGAGCAGATAACAGAAAAGCCAGATATTCTGACAGGTGTTGAAAATGGAACTTACCTTTAGCCTGTCAATATTCAAAGCTTTTAGTTTTAACTATAAGCACACTGCCCAAAGGTCACACACACAACATAACCTGCTAGGACAGTTCCTCAGATGCCAAGAGTAAGGCATGCCTCGACTTTATCACCCATTTTTACCAGTCCCAATTAATCTTCATGA